TCACAATCTGCCAACTCTTATCTGGAGATGATAACACTTCAGTAGTGGTCCTTATATAACTGATTAACTGTTTCAGTAAGTGATAAGAAATCTTGATTAAATAACCATATTTGTATTAGTACACATTTATTTGTTCTTTAACACATTATAATATAGGTTTTTGGGGGCGATTTGGTATATTTATCTTTAAACGTTTTTGATAATCTTTCTCTTTATAGATTTAGAATAGCATCTGATGAAAGAAACTTTTACACCCCCATTGGCATGTATAACAGCTTGACAAGGCATATGTGACCCTTACCCCCAAGAGAAGCCAGGATGTCCAGTTTTCAGGTGCTGCCATGTTGTGTTTCTGAGCACTCTGGATGTCTGGCTGAAAAGTCCCACGTACTCCTCATCAATGGTGTTTCTGTTGCATCTACCCCACCCCCCAACCCGGTCTCACGGAAATCAGGGGCAATTTGCACGTGTTTTTAGCATGCCACACGCGCACATTTAGCCGTTTTTAGCGGCTCAGGAGCCCGCAGGTACGGTGTGTGTCACTCGCTCTGGTTAATCCAACAGGGAGACGGCTCTGAGAGCCGTTTCTTTAGCGACTGACGCATCACTACGTCATTCCCTTTCCTAATGTCCTGAAGAACGGTCTGGAGCGCAGGCGGAGTGTTTAGCTAACCTGCAGGAAATGTCAACAACAGTTATCCAGAAAGTAGCTAAGGGTTACCAGAGGTGTTTCTGAGGTGTTCCCTAGGTATTTTTAAGATTTAAAAATTCAAGAAGGGGGTCTGAAAAGCTGTTAGAAATGGCGTCAAAGTCGCTAAGTGTGCAACACTGTGGGAGAAGTGCTTCATTTGCAACTCAGGGCAGCGCAAGTGGGAAGAGCAAATTATCGGCTTGTTTTGTTTTTATAATCGTTCAAAACTCAGATCGTAATTGGGATTAAAATTCGAATAATTGAGCAGCCCTAGTTGAACATGTTAAGTTTCAGTTTGGACTGTTTATTGAATTTTCCTACAATAAATTCAGTCTAATAAAATTGCTGATTTTGTCTGACTGAATGTATAATGTACAATATATCGTGGCATATTGTTTCATGTCCCCTGTATCGTGGTATGTATCGGATTCCCAGAATTTCACCATTACACATCCCTAGTGGTTTGTAGAACTTTGGCAGGCAGTAACCTTATCCATATGAACTTAATTACAGCAGGAGGGGCAAGTATACATGCAACATTCATCCTGATAACTCAGTAGAACTTCACCGGAACTCTACACTACACCTCTCTATATATTGACAGTGCTCTGCTGCCACCTAGTGTTCAGTTCAGTACACAACATTTACAGTGTTCAATGCCCATTTACACTTAATCAATAGCACATATACTAATATTTACAATGGTTACCTTTATAATGAGATCAAGTAATCAAATAGACTTTGGGGTTACAGAAATATAATCATTAAAGTGTAGGTATGTCATTTGTGCATCACTGACATAATTTTTCATTAAAAATTGCTTGGGTACAAATTGTCTTGAAAGATAAAAATGTGATTAATCAGGATTAATTAATTACAATGCCTCTAATTAACTCATTAACTGCTAGCCGTTTCCTGATTTGAAAAGCCCTTCGCTGCTAGCGTTTTTCAGTGTTTTTGCTGTTTTTTGAAGTCGCAGAACGTTATTGCGCTTTATGATGATGTGAAACAAAGAGTAGAGTCACTTCTTACATTTGGAAGAATCTGCATGTTTCGAGCATTATCCGTTCACAATCTGTTGTCGAAATGTGATCGACGAAAGCTTTTCCACTTCGTGCCTCACTTTTTACAGCTGCGGCCCAAAACGATCTCCTAATACATGGATTTTCTGCTTCCTCATCACATAACGTGTGATGTACGAGGATAAAGATCAGCTTTAGAGCTGGGATGTTTGTTCTCACGGTGCGGGGGCTCGGTCCGACGCCCACACAGTAAAAAGATGCAAATGACGACTTTAGATGTCAATGGCAGTGAACGGTTGGATTTAAAATGATGACAGTGGCAGTTAATGAGTTACTAGACTAATGTTTTTAAACAAGTCTCACCCTAGTATCCATAGTTTCACTGAGGATAATTACTTTTGTGTTTACATTGATTGAGAGGGAATAAAAACTTGTTATGGAACCAACCACAAGGAGGATTTTTGTTTTTTTGGGTCTGGATCATAAATGTATCATGGCTCCAATTTCCAAACTTTCACTTTGGTTCATGCAGTATTACTTTAGAAGCCTTTACAGTTTTGTATTACATTAAAATTCCTCCTGTAATTGACCACTGGATGCACCAAAGTGCTACATTTTGCTGCTGTTGCTATTTGCACTTTTTTTAATTCAAAATAAGAAAGTGTAACGTTTAAAAGTTTGGAGCATTTTAAAGATGGTAAAAGTCCACTTTCCTTAAGGACATAAATGCCATTTCTCCATTCAGGAGGCATACTACGAAAAGTAAGAAAGTAATTATTTAACAGAAATGCATCAGCATTAAAGAATACTCTTCATATTTTTACTATATCCAATCAGATGGGTGCGGGTCCAGGACAGGAGATATTTTTTTTCTCAGATCTTCAGTTATTTTGCCTGGCAAGCTGCTTCTTTATAGAATAAGACAAAACTTTCTGGCTTTCCCATGGTTTTGAAAGTTCAGCTTGTTGCATTCAAGCTGATTAATAATGAGGAACAATGTCTGTCCATGAGAGCTGGCCGAAGCTCTTTGGAAACAAAAACAATACACTTTACGGAACATTCTTGAAACTTTGGAAAGCTGCTTGTTTTCCATCCTCTCACATTTGCATCTCATCAAGGATCTTGAGTAAAACGTAAAAAATTAGCTACTCGTACAAGGTGCATTTGAAATCGTAGGCGCAGCTGAAGTGCTCTTGTGAATGCAGAGCGAGACCCCCCCACTACCCCTCTTACCCCTCTTCCTTCACCTCCTTCTCCCCATGTGGCCTCAAATCATTAATCACCAGGATCTTTTCAGCTGTCAATACATACAAAAAGGCGACCCCCAAAGCCAACAATGATGTCTAAAATGAAACTGCTCCCTTTTTCAGAGCAGGGGCAAATATAGTTCACTAAGGATTATTGTTTACTGTTCTGTCCCGCTCAAATCTCATGCAGTATTTATAAAGAGTTTATCTTGCGGAAAAATCCTTGTCTGAACAACACAGCATATTGTCAGTAAAAAAATAAAAAAGTCTCAGATTTGCTCTGATCAGTTTTATTTTCTCCAGATCTCTTGTTCAAACTAGTACGGAAGCAGAATCTTTTGGCACTAGCGGTTACGATTTTAAGCTCATGGTGTATAATCAGGGATATTTCACCATGAAAGTGCCTAAAGGCAGCAGGAGGATGTTTTTAATCGCTACGGTCTCATTTGTCATGTCGAGTGCTTAAACTGCGAACCAAACAGCAACCAAATCTTTAATACGGTTTACTTCCACGTTGGCATTTGTTCAGCCAGCATCTTAACACATGTAGTCTCTTTAAATGAGTTGCTTGGGAGGCGTCGTCTGTTAACTACTGTACAATTATCCATCGATTCAACTTGTGTTTTGCTGATGCAGCACATTTTATTTTTCTGTAGTCACTTCAATATTTTGTCCGTGAAGGCAAGAGAGAAGAAAAAAAACACGGTGCATAGCTGAATACTAAAATTCCCTTTGCTTATTGATCTTCTCCTCAGTGTGCTGTTTGGCAGTTGAGGTTTTACGATGCAGATTTTAATCACCTCTGCTGGTTCTGAGTGGCCCTCGATGGGTCTGTCTGGCACCGTCGTTTCCAGGCGACTGAAGATTTGTAACTTATAAACATCACAAGTCAGGGAAGGACACCTGCCAGTTTTTACACAGGGCCAGGCGCCCAGCTCTTCTGTAAAACAGGGTTATTTGTTGGGGGACTTGTGTCATAAACTTTATAGATGGATGATTTGTTGTTTGATAAAATTTTTTTTTTCTTTATTAGATTCAATCCTGATGATGCCTTGTTTTACAATATGATGCATTTCAGCAGTGGCTTTATGAACTGGGTACAGGTTTTTCATGGTGATGACTAGAGGTAGCCTGGCAGCAGCCGGATCTCCATGTGTAGCCCCGCCCCGTTTCTATTCTCCTGAGTCTCACGAGAATTCATCATGCAGGGCGAGGTTAGACTAAAGGTGTGTATTCGCAGGATCCCGGCGATATATTTTTCACGATACACAGAAGAAAAACAATATCTCGCAATACTAAAAGCCAGATGATATTTGCTATTTTTAAGAAAGAATTTTTTTGTAAACACTCAGGCCAGACGTTTCCAAAACACATCTCGTGTTATCGCAAGATCTTCTACCAGCAGAATAAAAACTGCTGCCACCGAGCCATTGCAAGTACAGTAAATGTTGGCGTCTAAATTCTTGATTAAAAAAATCCATTCATTGCTTTTAAATATTGATCCTGTTGCCAAACATGAAATATTGCGATATTTCAATTGACTGATTACTTTTTACATTCCTAATTATTTGACCTATTATTTTAGCTTTCCCCACATTCAGTGTGGTTACAAGTGCATCTAAATTGAACTAAAACCTTAACCATAATAACAGCCTTTATCATTTGCATGTGTTGGAAAATCTACTTTTTGAACGACGTGCGTTGAACTCCTTGGTGGGGGGCAACATGCTCCTTTTGGTGTTGGCATTCTCCTGGTTGGCGTATCATGTTCTCCAAAAATGCTGGTGAGAGTGAAGCAGAATTTGCACAGTGGCCAAAGAATGAAGCAACAACACTGCTGCAGCATGGTACATTTGGTACATAATGTACTGTTTGATGTTATGACAGATTCATGCAGAGTCATGTGGCAATGACTCGTCACTGCCGGAAGGGGGAATGCCCAGGAAGGTGTTCACTCAGCGAAGTTGGGATGTCATTTAAATGCAGTTAGATTTCCATACTCCTTACTATGTCTCCTTGCTTTTTCTGTCTCTCTTACAGAATCCCTTACACTGAACAGGATCTTAAATCCGCATTTTATTCTGAAAGTAGCGTGGAGGCAGCCATGGAAGTGAAGGAACGTAGACCTTATCGCTCACTCACTACCCGGCAGGATTCGGAGCGCCGTTACACCAGCTCTTCAGCGGACAGTGAAGATGGAAAACCCAACTCGAAATCCTACAGCTCCAGTGAAACCCTCAAAGCCTTCGACCATGACTCAAGGATGGCCTACGGGAGCCGGGTCAAGGAAATGGTACACCACGAAGTGGATGAGTTCAACCAGCAAGGTTTGTCCAATTTTGTGAGTTGATGAGAGTATAATTCATGTCAATAGGCTGATCTATAACAATGTGGTCTAAACCAGATTAGTTGTTATACAGTCATCATGTTTTAAATGAGGACTCAGAGAAGAGGTCATTCAGTAATACGTTTGAACTCACCGTGATGGTGAAAACTTAACTAAAAGCATCCACAACTTGACATCATTGCTCAAAAACATTATTTGTCTTCAAAGTTCGAACGAGGCGTTGTCCACATGCAGGTATTTGGCTGATAAAGAATATATCAGGCTTACCCTACCTTACCCTTAAAGTATAATAATAATAATAATAATAATAATAATGAACTAATAAAATTGAACAATTTATTGAAACATCCCTTAATTTTTTAAAGAATTGTTTTAGTTTATTAGTTAATTTTTAAAAACTATAAAGAGATTTAAGATATGCTCTGCTAAGTGGTTAACCTGCTAATCAAAAGGGTCCAAAATGTTTTCTAAATGAGACATTTAAAAAGAATGTGAAACTATGAATATACAGAGCATTTTAGAAAAATATTATGTATTTCACACATACCTGCTGTTGGTATCCTTCTCTCTCTCTCTCTCTCTCTCTCTCTCTCTCTCTCTCTCTCTCTCTCTCTCTCTCTCTCTCTCTCTATATATATATATATATATATATATAAAAATTTTCATTTTCTACCATTACCAATTTATTTAGATTTTATCTTAGTTAAACTTTGATTGGCTGCTGTAATGGGTAGCAATTAAGAGAAAACTGTTAAAAGTAAAGAAAAATGCAGCTTTTTGGTGAAGCTTAGCTCAGCTAAGGATTTTCATTTCATGCATCTTGATTTGTCTTTAAAGAGCAAGTCACCCCCAAATAAAATTTTTTTTGCTGATAAACTAAATAAACGAGTGTCTAATCGTGCTGCAGACACGTGTCGTCAATAATTTGGCACTTCAGTGCATCTTAGTTCAAATTTAAATATTCTGCCTAAAACTGGCAGTGTTGTGCCGTTGTCAGGTAAAAACTCTGCACTGTATTTTAATTTAAATCTGCCACCGCTATTGGCTAAGAAGTATGCTATGATGTAAACTGGTACATTATGATGTCACAATGCTGTCGTGAGCCTGAGTGTGTGTGTATTTGTTAGCGGCTCCGCCCTCTTGGTCTGCCAGGCAACAGCATGTGTTGCATTTTTCAAACATGAAGTGGGAGTGGAGTTAGACTCTGGTAGGGATTGACTTGCTCTTTAATGTAGGCACTTCTATGTCACAGTGGAAGTATTTTAGCATTTTTGTTTCAATGAAGAGATGTCTTTATAAATCAAAGCATTGAATATTGAGAAAAATGTAGAACTGCTTTAAAATTCATGGTTACTTTAAATGAGCATTAAAGTCAACCAAAGCAAAGTTTGGAATTATATTACAACATTATTTTCCTCTTCAACAAAAACAAGATCCTTGTGGTTTTCTTAAAAGTGATGCACCGATATGAAATTTTTGGACCGATACCGATACCAATATCTGATATAAAGATCACTGTTGTGGCCGATAACCGATATTTGCCAATACCAATTTACTGACATTATCGCTTCTAAAATCAGCAGATTTTGTATAGAATTAAAATTATTAAAGCTGAATTTACATTATTATGTACACACAACACACACCTTTCCGGTTCTGAGATGATTACAATCCCTATTACATGACTAAAGAAATACACATCACCCCCCTCACCCTCTGAAACAGATAAACCAATGGAGACAAGATGGAAAAAATATCGGTTGTTGATATCGGCCTAGTTTTATATATCGGGCCGATACGATATGTTAAAAAATGACTGAGATCGTCCGATACCAATATTGATGCCGATTTTCATCTTTCGTTCATTTCTTACTAGTGAATAAAACAGCCCACCTCTCAGTAATTTACACTTTATTCTGATTTATTCCCAAAAATGTCAGTAAAGGTTTTCATCTAAAGATGAAATGGGAAAAAAAAAACATTTCATATTTGTTGGGATTTCTGCAGGGGCAGACTTTTCCCTTCGAGACCTTGGCTTTGGGGAAGCCCTCCCTTCACACGCAGCCTCGTACAGGACAGACATGGGCCTGCCTCACCGTGACTACTCGGTCAGCGTCGGATCCGACGCGGACACGGAGACGGACGGCATCATGTCCCCGGAGCACGTGGTCAGGCTTTGGGGCCGCAGCAACACCAAGTCGGGCCGCAGCTCGTGCCTCTCCAGCCGGGCCAACTCCAATCTAACTCTAACCGACACCGAACACGAGAACACAGAAAACGGTAAAATGCTCTTGTTCGTTTTCCTCCTTTCTTGTTTGGCTGCTGATTTCATACAGTTTATTTTGTTATGATGAAATGCATTTAATGATCATTTTGAAGCATTTTCCCTAAACACAAATTGTCTTTCTGTTACTTGAAAGTGGAATGATCAGTTTTGAATTGGAATTCTCTTTCTTCCAATTAGCAGTGGTTGATTGGGGTGATTTTCAAATTTTAATCCTTTTTATAGTTTTAGACTGATAGAAAAGGCTCTTGTAGATCCTTTTGTGACTACTGTCATGGTGTGGGGAGTCATAGACACTTCTGTGGTTTGGTGTTTCTGTTTTGCCCTTAAAGGCATAAGGAGCTTTTGATCAACACTCACTTAATCTAAAAGAAAAACAAACAAGACTAAATCTTATTTTTTATTATGGTTTCAACTGAGTGCTCAAAAACATTTTCTGGCATATACAGTTACATGAAATACTTTAGGGTAAGTTCAGTGCAGTGTGTAGGAGGCACCGTGCGGCCATGCTTCTTTTCATCAGGCAACATCGTCATTCTTGATAGCATGCACCGTTCTCTGCTTTCCCATTTTCTGTTGAGCTGGATCAATAAGGTTCGCTGATGGCTTAAGTCAAAGATCAGTTTTGCAAGACACAAAGGTCAGCATTAATCCAAGTCATGCATATTATACGGCAGATTGATGATATTGTTCCCAGATAGAGAAACTCATCAAAGCACCCGTGGCAGAAGTCTAATTGCCTTGCACGGTCCTGCAGAGAACCTTGTGAATAGTTTTGCATTTCAGAGTGCGCCACGTTATGTATTAGCTTCTCATTATAAGTGACAGAAATGATTCTTGCAAGTGGAATCCGTTTGGCCTGATGACTTGGGGAGGGAGCGTGGCGTCCCTCTGCTTGATCATCCGAGATGCCACGGGCCTTAAATTTGACTGTATTGTATATGATTAAAAAGAATCACCTCGGACAGCTGTCCAGGAGTTGGTATGCCGTATTCAGAACACCCGTAGCTGCAGCATCGTGCCTCTGTGAGAACCAGTTGAGAGTCTAAGTAGGTTTTTATTCCACTCACCCAAGCAGAAAGAGCACTTGTATTCAGCGTTTAATTCAGTAAAGCTAGATAACATACAATTTATATATGGCAAGTTAATTAAAATCCATCGAGCAGGCCTTCTTGTGTGCGCTTTAATCTATTTAAATCAACAAACCATTTACTCTGTTTTAATGTATTCAAGCCGCTGGGCAGTTTCCCCTCCTCCTCCTTCACATATGACTTACTTGACCCTGGTTTTAATGCATGCAAACAAGCAGCAGTAATTTTAGAACAATTTTCTTGATGCTGTAATTCCAACCCATCACTTCGATTTAATGATCGCACATTTATTCCACTGATGATGATCTTAGATACGCCTAAAGTGAACAGAGACGTTTAGATTATTGGAACTTGATGCTTTGAATAACCAATTAGGTCAAGCTATCTCATCTGTCATCACCGTATGACCGTTTATTGGCCAGTATTAGAGCGGTTTCCAAGTTTTGGATACAAATTTAAAAGTAGAATTGGATTTAATTGGCACCAACAATAGTATGGGGGCTTAAAGGTGTGGTTCACTCATTTAATCAACACATTTGCAGTGATCTCTAGTAGGAATCAATACTTTGTAAGTCGTTCTCGAGGGGAGTTACTGGGGCACCAGTTCTTGGACGTAAAAGTTGCCCACATCACAGCCGAGCTTCAGACGGATGGTTTTAGAAACATACTTCCTGATATTTGAACATCTTGCCCTGGATTGGATAACAACAAATCAACTCTACCACTGACTTGCAACATGGACGTTTTATCTCCACAAATAACTCAAGCCTGGAGGAGCTTCTGCCGTGAGGTGAAGTTGCTAATGTTGACAGTTAGCTTAAACTAGCCGAGACGTTCTGTGCTGATTACCGGACAACAGCCTTCCCTGTCATGAGTCAAGATGGGTGAGTTCATGAACGCTAATTCACAGTGTGACATAGATCTGTGAGGATCTTTTAATCCTAGAGTTTCACTGTCTATTTTTTATCAGAGGCTAATGCAGGAGATAGGTGTAGGAGACCATTTTCATGTCCAGCCTGCTTGAGAAACTCAGTGACTGATTATAATCAAAAAACAAAAAACCCCACTAAAAACGTTTGTTCAGTCAACAACACCTTTAATGTTATTGCAAACGATTTGCAAAAATGATGTTTGTGTACATGTATTTGTTGCAGTTGAGTCGCATTTCTCACATTTACTAGCTCACAGAAAATTAAATCGTTGTAACTTCAGGAGAAAATTTTCGTGCACATTTTTAAAGCGTGTTCAGAATTCCAGCAACAGGAGAGTGAGGTCACGCAACACACACGAGGAACTTGAGAACCCTTGTGACCAATTAGAAATACCAGAAGTTGCGTGACAGAAGATTGAGAAGGGTTCACGACAAATGTGACAACAGCGATCATTTTGAAAGGACATCGTTTTCAGCAACATCGCCCTAACCCTAACTCTCTAAAATGCTACTTGCACTTCATCACCAATGGAGATTTTTTTTAATGGGATTCTATGGATATTCTTGTTGGGATACATCAAAGAAGCATCCTTCCCATGCTTCTCCTGGGTGCCCCTCAGAGACGCTTCCAGCAGCCATTCGCCGCTGACTCATTGTACGTCTTACTGAGGCTAAACAGCAAGATGTCAAACCTGTCTGCTGTGTTTGGAAGACGGTTGCTTTACTTGGTTTTCACCCAGTAACAGCTTATCCAGATGTGTGCTCTAATCCTAACTTTCCCCCACAGTCATGGGCTGGCTATCACGTTTCTGTAACCATGAGAACCAGCATGGAGACGACCACAAAGCCCGTTGAGGAATTGTTATTCATGTATTCCATAACCTGTGTAGAAAAAATGACTCAGCTGAAGCTTGTGCTCTTTCTGATGGGAAAAAGGAATGCTTGTGTGACTGATGCTGATGGTTTTCGAAGGCCAAAATGTAATTTGTTCCAGTGGGTGGTTAGTTGTGTACTTATTTAGCTTTTTTTACTTGCTCTGAGAGATCTGTTCTTCATTGATTGAGGAGATATATTTGTATATGTTTACACACACTGCCAAGCCTTGATCTTATTGTAAAGTGCTCCAGAATGATGCGCTCAGTCTCTTATTTTCTATAAAATCCAAAACTCAAACGTTCTTATGAGATTATCTGTTTCAAACTATTTATACTTTATGAGAAAAAAGAAAATGTCAGTCCTTCTCTGTCTGACATGTAGCTTTAGAAGTAGATTTTTTTTCTGTTATTGCTCATTTCTCGAATAGCAGTTGTCATATTTTGCCTTTGGGCAAAAATGTTAAGGTAGTAGAAACACTTGTGAAAACGTCCTCCCACTATCTTTCAGCAAACAAGCAGCTGTTATGTTACCTTTTTCTGAGTTGTTCTCTCATCTCAAATCAATAATTTATTGAAAGGAAATATTTATGTCATTGTTTTGGGCTGTTGCTAGTTTTAATTTAAATCAACTCAAGACATCCACTCTGGAATTTCTATTTCTATTTTAATACCTAAATTATTAATTAGCAGAAAAAGGAACAAAAGTTTGACTGACTTGGCTATGTGCTGCTTGATACACAAACTGCCAGAAACACTAAATTAACAGCCCCGATGGTGGAAACACGATTTTCAGCTGTCACAACAGATTGCTTTAGGGCTAGAGTTTGACTGCTTAAGCTTATTTCTTAAGCCTTATTTTACAGACTATTTTAAGGAATGATGCAACCATCGATGCTACATTTCTTTTTTTAAACATATGAATCTCTCAAATAAACAATCTTCAATCAGAAAGAAATGCACATGGATTATTTAAAAAAAAAAGGCTCATTCATTTTTTCCCCTAATTAATCAGCTGTAGTCTCTAGCATGAACGGACGTTGTGTGGACCGTTTTCTGTGGGGTAAAATAAGCTGTGGTGCTTCTGTTTCAGGCAGTACATTTTTAAATATTTTACATTTTCCAGAGTGGGGCAAGACAGGATTACAATTCTTACTCATTAATATCCACACATGAACATCTCGCCTCTGATCAGCTAACAATAATGCAACTCTTTCACTGCCTTCGTTTTTCTTTCTTGGGCAAAAATGGCAACACTGATGTTTTATCTCCATAAATAATACAAACCTGAGTGAGTTCTGCCATGTTGAAGAGATGCTAATGTCAACAGTTAGCTTCTACTAGCTGAGACGTGCTCTGCTTTCTCCTGGATGTAAAATCAACACAGCCTTGTGCAGTTGCAAGCCAAAGTGGATGGGGCCATGAATGCTAATTTGCCCTGGGATGTAGAAGAGACTGGAATTTTCTGGTCAGAGTGTTTTCCTGTCTCTTTCCTTTCTGCGGCTAATGCAGGTGATGGAGGCTGAAGAAGATGTTCATGTTCAGCATGTATTAGAATGACTGATCATATTTTAAAAATAATTACTCTCGGTGAACAAGACCTAAAAAAGACCAACAAGATAAACAATTGTAAAATTGGTAAATATAGTGCTCATAGTGCTAATTGTATTCTCACTCACAAATGATCTTAAAATAAAACATATTAGTTTTCCTGCTCCTCCTCCCTACAGGTTGAAAGCGGAATTACAACAGACATAAACAACCTTGCAGTAGCTAGCGCTACCAATGAGCTAACACTAATGTGAGACAACTAATACTAAAATAAATCGCTAAGTCAAAAGATCCACATTGTTGGACCAAAGAATAAGTTACTTACAAGTCTACAAAACCAGGTCATTTTCAGTCCGTAATTTTGTAACATAAACTCGTGTAGGCCGTGCCAATGTTCTCTCTGGTTTTAGTTCTTTGCTTCGCCTCCAAAGACATTACCTTCTTATTTTTACTTCCAGGCTCCACCATGATGCCAATAGAAAAACCTAACTTCTTCTTTTTCTACTTCTTGTGCTTTTTGTTGACGACCAGCAAACTGAAAATGCGAACTG